TCCCATTTGATCCTGCAAGCCCATTACTAGGCATCTACCCAGAAGGAAAAAAATCCTTTTACCAAAAGGACACTTGCACTAGACTGTTTATTGCAGCTCAATTTACAATCAGGAAGATGTGGAAACAGCCTAAATGCCCACCAACCCAAGAATGGATTAACAAGCTGGGGTATATGTATACCATGGAATATTATTCAGCCATTAAAAAAGATGGAGACTTTACATCCTTTGTATTAACCTGGATGGAAGTGGAATACATTATTCTTAGTAAAGCATCACAAGAATGGAGAAGCAAGAATCCTATGTACTCAATTCTCATATGAGGACAGTTAATGACCTAGTACATGGTGGGGGGTGGGGGAAGGGGAGAGGAGAGAGGGAAGGAGGGAGTGAGGGAGGTGGGGGAAGGGAAGAACAGAGAGAGGGAAGGAGGGAGGGGGTGAGTGATGGTGTGTGACACATCTTTTGGACATGGAACACAATTATGAGGGACTTAACCTAACAAATGCAACTTGGTTCTTTATACCCTCAATGAATCCCCAACAATTAAAAAAAAAAAAGGAAAAATATTTAATCAAAACAAAATTCTAGTGGAATAATTAGTAGAAATTCTTACTTCAGTTAATCTTTTTTTTTTTGTAAATAGTACAGGGAATAGTAGGGAATGGTGGGTAATAGCAACATCACATGCACCCTGTAGTTTCCCCTGCAGCCCCAGAGCGGGAATTAGCACTGAGAGAATCTTCCCTTTCCAGTGATGGCTTTCTCTCTCATTCACAAGGACACTTCTACTTCCGAAACAACATTTCATTTCAATCTACTTAAAGAACAACTTCATTGCAGCCACAGTTTTGGCAAACTATAGTTTTTAAGAATATTTTTGAAGAGCTATCTGTATGTAGAATGTGGGGACTTAACAAAACACTGTTCTTTTATCCCCTCATTCTCCCTTGCCACCATCATATCCTCCCTCGCCCAAACTTTTCCTTATAAGTTCCTTTCTTTTTGATTCAGTGCCTTTTCCTAGTGTGCCTAGTGATCACATTTCACAGCCAGTAATTTCCCTCTAAAGCTCAAGAATAGTGGGTCACAGTGAGGCCCACTGACGAGTGGTTCCAGCAGCAAAACATCAATGGTGAGACATGGGGAGCAGGGGCATGTCCCCTCACCAGAGAGGCCAAGTACAGGATGACTGCTGTTCATGTGGAGACATTTTATACTCAGATTCAAAAAGCAGCTCCACTGACCACTTGCCACTAATAAGTGAAAATCTACAAAGGAGTCGGTCTAGTGGGAAAGCTCCTTAGGAAGGCAGTGGGCCCCCAGGACTCAGGGCTCTTCCTGGAAATCATCTGGGAAGCTCCTGAAGGGACAATGTTCATTGGACAGACATCAAGGACAGAACCCAGAATGTCTCAGGGTGCCATGATGAGCCATTTTCCTGAGCAGTCTCCAAACCCTGCAGCTGACTGCTCCAAGGTGGCTGGAACCTGCTCTCTGTCTAAAAACCCAGTTTCTGCTTCAGACCAAGCTCTTCTGGCGGAGGGAGGGGTCCACAAACAGAAATGCTCACAGATCTGTCTTTGGTCTTTACATTTTCCTCTTATCAATTACAGTGGGTTGACAACAGGAAATCAGTATCCATGGGGGGTGGTTCCAAGACCCCGTGAATCCCTGGAGGCTCAAGTCCCTTATATAACACGGTGTGGTATTTGCCTATAACTTATACACATCCTGTGTATATCTTAAAGCATCTCTGGATTACTAATAACACATGATTCAATGTAAATATTACGTAAATAGTTGTTACACCATATTATTAAATTTGTATATATTTTTTAAATATATTTCTGATTCGTGTTTGTTTGAAACCACGTGGAACCCATGGATGTGGAACCCACAGATGCAGAGGGCAGACTACACTCAAGTATATGCACTTTTTAAAATGGCGCTAATAATGTCCCATTGCTGTAACATTTTTACTTCCACAGACATAAGTCTCAATCCATCTGGGAGTGTCATAAGCAAGCACAGGAAGAAATTTACCTCAAGAGTGAAAATGCACAATCTCTCTGTTCTCATCATTTTTTTCTATTGTTTTTCTCATTACTGTTGCCTAAGGTTCAACAAGGGACATTAAGTAATCCCAGGAAGTTCTCGTTGTAATCAGAAATCCATCAGATATCTATCAAAAATATACTTCACTGTGTTTGT